TAACAAAAACAAACAAAAATAATGTGTGAAAAATTGCAGACAAGTGTATAGCCTGTTCTTTTTTTTTGCCAGTTCTATGCTAAATAATTATGATTTTTTTTTTTTGATTTACAAAACAAAATTTTTTTTTTCATGAAAGTACAATATATATATATTTATATAAATACCTATTTGAAACTATTAAAATCACAATCAATTGCTTATTCAAACCTAAATTTTATTTATAATAAATTCTCCAATTTAAATACGATTGGATTGACAAAAGTTCGGTCAGTTGGTGACTTCCAATTAGCTTTTGTTAAATCTAAAAATACCAAATTCTTTGCAATTATTTTATTTGTCTTCCTCTCAGATTTTATCATGATCAGTTGAAACAAAGAGGAGAAAACGCAAGATACCTGAAGATAGGTCAGAGGAAATACGAGGCTCCAATGATTTTGCTCAATTTTTCCTGTACAAATTCGTAAATGATCAACTTAGCAACTATTGGAAAGTCGTTGCTGGTGACGAATCTTGGCTCTATAAGTATGATGCAGAAACCAAACAGCAGTCCTCGGTATGGAGCCCAACAGGAGCAAACCCATCCGTAAAATCTAAGCAAAAAGTTTAATAGCAAAAGATATCAATCAGGTTCTTCACCCGATAATAGCTGCTATCACACTATAATTTTATTTTATTTTATTTAATTTTATTTTATTTATTTTATATAATTTTATTTTATTTTATTTTATTTTATTTCATTTTATAAAATTATATTTTATTTTATTGTATATTATTTTTTTTTCATTTTGTATTATTTATTTTGTTTACATTATTCCATTGTGTTTTATTTAATATAATTTATTTTATTTTATTGTATTTTATTTAATTTTATTTTAAAAGAGTCAGACGTTAACTGCAAAATGGTACAGCGATCCTGATCGAAAATAATTATTATTTATTAAGCTTATGGTGGAGAATCACAATTTTTACTTGAATTCAATATATCAGCATTTTTTTTTCAAACAGTAATTATTTTTTGAGTTTTATTTTTCATTTATATCCTTTTATAGAGAAAATAAAATTGTATTTTGAGTAAGTTATTGTCGTTGAAAAATTTAATTGATATTGTAGCTAATAGGAATCTTCGAGTCTGCAAATTAAAGATCTCTATTAATTAAATTAAAAAAAAACACAAACGGTTTCTTCCTCAAGATCTTTTAAAGCGATTGATTTAAGCTCTACATATGTTGTAAATAAAAATTTTAATTTGTTTTTTCGAATGAGAACTTTTTAAAAATCAATTGTTTTTTTATTTTATAATAAATTGGAGTTTATACCGGGTTGTTGAGCAAAAAAAAACTGAGATTTAAGTGCTTATAAAGTGAGTCATTTTAACCTTAGTGTTTCAAGTAATACATGGCGTATGAGGAACATTTACAATTAAAAAAATATTGGCCTAATAAAGAGTAAGCCATTGTTTTTGAATTAAACTGAAGGTTTTATTTGCCATAGTTGGAATTATCTGATTTATGTCAAATACGCACCGTTTTGCTTGATGCCACTTTTCCCTATTGCCAAAAAATTGCTAGGGTCGAATTTCATAGATTTCTCTTGAGGACAATTCTTCACCAGTCAAATTATAATACCATGGATCACATCCTACCACAAAATTATCAGAAAACACAAGATAGACGAAACTAAACTTATGCAAGATTGACTGTTAGAGTATCAGAACCATAACCAATAGTGTTCACTTTTAAGTTGCGTTTTCGCTTTTATCGAAGAGATGTTGCAGAATTTTTCTTTTTTTTTTTTTTTTTTTTTTTTTTGGGTGTTTATCTTTGTCACGAGCTTAAACATTACTGTATTAAGTAATGAACGCCATCTAGCGTATTCCAATCGTACTTATAGAAGGCTAGATATGTATATGTATATTGCGAAAAATAATGGATCACTTTTTATTAGAATTGATTTGTAAATAATACTACCGATTAAGAGCTTTCAAAAATAGCTTTCTCAAATGAATGAACTATAAAAAACTATAAGAATTTAATTTATTTTTTTTTATTTTATTTAACTTAATTTATTTATTATTTATTTATTTTATTTTATTTTATTTTATTTTCCTTTATTTTATTTCATCTTATATTATTTTCCTTTACTTTAATTATTTTGATTTATTCCATTTTATATTGTTATCTTCTTTTATTTAATCTACTTCATTTTATTTTATTTTATTTCATTTTATATTGTTCCCCCTTACTTTAATTATTTTATTTGTTTTATTTTTTTATTTTATTTTATTTTACTTCATTTTATATTATTTCATTTTATTTTTTTATTTTATTTTATTTTACTTCATTTTATATTATTTTATTTTATTTTATTTTATTTTATTTTATTTTATTTTATTTTATTTTATTTTATTTTATTTTATTTTATTTTATTTTATTTTATTTTATGTTATTTATTTTGTTTCTATTATTTTTTTTATTTCCTTTTATTTTGTTATGGTATTTTATTTGATCGTATTTCAATCAGTTTTATTCAAAAATAGTTTTTTAATTTTTTTTTAAGAGAGTTTACGTAACTTTTAAAATTAATATCATGAAAATTACCCGCAAATCACCACACTTATTTAAACGTACATATGTATCTGAATTAGTCTATTTGTATATATTATAGTTTACATCTGCAGCCACATGTATATATTATTGAAAAATTCAATTACTATATATATTCGCTATTAAACACATTAATATTCATTATTGCAATTTATTATAATTCATTACCACAATATGTTGACGTTCACTTGATGAATTAACAAATATTGTGAAATATGAGTGAGTTAAAAGTGTTGGAACAATAAAATGCCATTACCCATAGCACTTCTGGCAACGAAAATTTTATGCTCAAAGGGAAATTTCAAAAATTTTTACAAACACAAGTTTAAACTGACACATACAACATACATATATGTACGAGTATGTAATTATAAATTTAAATTATTATTATTTTTTTTAATCGTATACACAATTAATTTTTCACAGCTCGTAACGAGACAATAATTATATTAACACAAACATCCAAAAGGTCGCTAAGCACAATAATGAAAGTATTTACTCAAATAAACATTGATTTCACAAAATTCACTACATGAAATATACAAAATAAATGCTTAGCTCACTGTTTGGATAAGAGCTGTTGTGCCTTTCTTTCTTTCTGACGAACATTCGCCTATCAGCAAATACCATTAGAGAGCCTCTATATATAAAATAATTAACTAACAGTTGATTTCTGTTATAATTTTGTTTGGACCATAAACAAAATCTGCTTTCATAGACGCACAAGCATACCCATAAATAAAGAGCATCTGTTTCAATGTTTGCCACGATGTGTACGCAAATCCCAAACAATGGAAACAAAGAAGCGATTTAGTAAAGTAAAGTAAAATATTTGAAATGGAAGCACTTTCTGGTTTTAAAAATAAACACTTTGAGAAGGAAAGACCAGATGCGTTTCTTTAACACAGCAAGAAACTCAAGTGTGTCAGGACTTATACTTCGATAAACATAAAGATTTCATGCTATGATTTTTAGAATGATTTTACTGTAACATTCAAACATGCAAATTTTTGGTTTCGTCTATTTCTTGATTTTGATGTAAAAGACGATATACGGTTTGCTTCAGGAAGGCCAATTACCAAAAATAACGATAAAATAATCATCGATGACTTTGATTCTTTCTGTATGCAAGCACTGTTTTGATTGCCCATGAGCTAAACATTGCGAAAAAAAAATTTGGAATTACTTGAAAAAAATCAGGATACGCATAGAAGCTCCATGTCGAACTTCCATCAGCAAACCGCTGCCGAATTCCAACAATATTGACCACTTGCTGAAGCGGATGGTGACTGGTGATGAAGAGTGGATCACTTACAGCAACGTCGAAGGAAAACGATTATGCTCGAAGGATAATCAGCCCGAACAAATGGTCTCCAAGATAGGCGGGATGATCATCAAACTTTGGTTGTCTAAGATTGGCAAAGAATGGTTCACAATGAGCTACTCCCCTATGGTCAAATTCTCAATTCAGACCTGCAATGTCAGCAATTGGACCGTGTGAAGGAAGCGAACGCTCAGAAGCGCTCCGCTTTGGCCAACAGAAGGGGACTTATGTTTCATTAGGACAACGCCATACCTTAAGTGCATCGCTAGTTACTCTACAAAAGTCACAGGAGGTTCCTATATATCCACATACCAAGTAATAACCAACTGTTTCTGTCTATGGCCAATTATGATTTCGCATTGAGAAACGCCTGTGTAAGTCGATTGCGCAAATTTTTGGGAATTCTGGGAGAGAGGCGAAATGACATTTGATGGTTATGACGGCAAGAAGTTATCGAGCAAAACGATTTATAATAACTGAGGTAAATAAAGCCGGCAATTTAGTGCAAAATAAATGGTTTAATTGGTATTTATTAATTATAAAAATATCGCAATTTTTATCTGTTATTATTTTTTATCTCTTATTTTTTTTTGTTCCAATTTATTCTTTAAACTGCTTTAAAGCGTAACTTAAGCTTTTAAATTTCTATAGGGATGCATAACAGAAGCACTTTTTTGTTTGAGTGTCTGTCGATATTGATTTAAAAATAACAAAAACTTTATTTACAAGATAGTCTTCAGCTTTTTCTATTTTTTTTTTTATATTTTTTTTATACGGTTAGTTAAAAACTTTGTTTAATTAAAAAATCTCTTGAAATATTCAATGAATTGGCATGAAATTATTCCCTACTTTTATTATTTATTCAAATTTCGTATACACAGCTGTACATAATCTCGGGCTGAATTTTAGCCGTTCCTAAACATAAGCCTTAACAAATTTAATTTTTGTTAATTTATTATTATTTTTTAAATTAATTTTCAATAACTTTTCTTCCAAATTTTATGAACTTTTTATTTAAATCAATCAAAGTAAAGCAACAGCTTACAAAAAGTGTTAAAAGAGCAGCAAAGTATAGAATTCAATTAATAGTTTTGTAAAATAAAAATAAAAAAATAAAAAAAAAACCATTCTAGAATTTTTGTTGGGTACTCTGTAGTAAAATAGATCATTTTATTCCCAAAAAAATATTATGCTCTTATACTGACATATGGAGTTTGCCATTTCTTGAAATTTGTCATTCGCTCCTGCAAAATAAGTAAATTATTTAACTTAAAAATATTTTTAAAACTAATTTCACACCTTTGCATTCAGTTAACTCGAAAACTTGTTCCAATTGCAATATCCCAAAAATTTTACTCAGTGTATCAATGTCATTGTCTAACACGCTTGAAAGTTAATTTTTTTTTTAAATTTTTAATATACATTATTCCCTTATTTCGAGATTTTTTATTTTCAATCATATTGCCGGTGTTTTATACATACATAACACGTTCTCATGTTCTCATCGTAGTACAAATGTTTCCGCTGAAACAATGTTTCACTGATCGGTCTGAAAAGCTATCAAATTATTTATAATATTTTTTAAGTTATTTTCCACGATTATATACTTTTTTCGGCGTTTTTCCACTTATATTACCAAAACAATATAGTACATCGAAACACTTTTCTACCCCAAAATACATAAATCGTAAAGTAGCCAATATTTTCAGAGGGAATTATTTATTCAAAATATATATGCATAACTTGAGAATCGTTTTTGAAAAAGTTGACGTGTCATCTAACTTTCTTTTTTTTATTTTTTAATTTTTTATTTCTCTTCCAACTTCCATTTTGTTGTTGAAGTAAAAAATTTATTTTTAAATAAACACACAGGCATGCTTTTAAATATTGAGGTAGCTGGTTGCTATCAAAAATCCAAAACAAAAAAGTTTATTTTTGTAAAAGTAAATAACGGGTCACTTTCCAATATATCAGCATTTTAAGTTAAAAAAAATAAATTAAATAAAAGTTTTATTTCGTAAACAAACATATTATGAAAAAGCTTAATGTATAATCCCTTCATAAAAAGTGCCTTCCTTCATTTCATTCCACACGAAACACAATTACGTGTTTGCCAATTTGAGGTTATAGTCTAAAAATTTAAATTGCATACAAAGTGTAGAGAAGTGACGTCTGAAATTACCCACATTCTTACAAAAATTAAATTAGCTACGGCATATAATAAATTTTCTGACCAATAGTGCAATCCATTGCAATTGAAATCATTTTTTTTCACACTTTCAAGTTCCAGCACTTTCAAAGCACGTATTTTGCTAAAGGCGAGAGCTGCTGTCTGGCCTAACAATGGTGCCTCATATTTATATTTCTGAACCGTTATATTATTTCTTGATCTTTTGTTAATTTTTTCTGTATAAATAAAAATATATTCCAAGGACTTTGAACAACTGAATTTAACCCACAAAAAGTAATCTCATACATCATTACTACGACGTTCTAACGCTCAGTTCGCAAACATGAGAACTTGAGAGAGTTTTCAGATATTTCGTTAAAGCCTGATAAACATTTTAATTCATACAAAACTAAATGAGTAATTTGACCCCGAAAAAAAAGCGTGAAAATAAAATACTCTTCAAATGTTAAAATATTGTTTATATATAAGAAAAAAGTCCTATAAATTCCTAACTGTCAAAAAAAATTCAAATATCCCAAAAAGTCCTTTTTTGGCTATTTATACATATACCATTTATAATATAATATATATTTTAAATTGAAACTTGTTTGCCAGCTTGAAATCAATAAAAATACAATATAAGTTTATTGATTTAACTCCGATATATTTCGACTACTCTTCGGAAAGCGTCTTTAGGGTGAATAACACGTTCTATCAGTGTGACTGGAGTTTTGTACAAAACCAACAAGCTGATATTGTGTTTTTGTTGACCACAGGCCGGCAAACAAGGTTCATTTTAAAATGCAAATATAATATATATAATTTCTTGCTTAACTCCCAGTTTAAAAAATACACAATTCACTCAGAATCGAAAAAAAATGAATTTCTTATTCGAGAACGATCGTCTCTGTCTAGCATACAACGAACACAATATACCCATGTCATACCCAAATGATCTGACATAGGAAATGTGAAAAGTATTTAGTTCAAACTAATTTTATATGAATTTTGATTCATCCTGCTGACAATTGTTCAGCGTGAACTTCTTTTATATGTAGAAATATAAGTTTTTTGAATATATTTTCTCAAATGTCTGTTCCGTAAAGCATTCGATGGGGTTAATCACTCAATTCTCAACCACAAACTAGATCTTTTTGGGTTCCAAACAAGATTTTTCCAATGAGTTTCCTTCATATACGAGGTAATAAAATACAATTTGTGGCATTTCAAGACAATTTAACTCATTTAATTGTGAACTCATCAGGATTTCGTCAAGGTAGCCAACTCGGCTCGATTTTATTTTTGTTATTTATTTTTTATGGCGTTTATTACAAGTAGATCTACAAAATTTAGTTACTTAATGTGATAATGGCCTCCCATTGAAGCTAAGACTTACTCCATCTCCTCCTTATATAATCAACAACTACAGTCTACATCAAGTACTTTGTTGATTTAGGGACTACGTTGGATTCATGCAAAAAATTCTTGAGAGCTAAAAATGTGTTTGCCTTTGTCAAAAGATGTTCAACACAATTTTCAATCTCTTATGTAACTTAACCTTTTTATGGGACTTTGGTAAGACCAATAATGGAAAATGGTCCACTGATATGGAACTTTCACCATCAAGTTCATTCCGGTAAGTTAGAATCTGTTCAAAAGGTTCTGAGTCTGCTTGCTCTGGCAAGTCGTAGCGAAATGTTAGGCACATTGTTCATAGTCAAACTTCTTCACGGCTCAATTTGCAGTTAATGGTTCTTGTCTGAGCTAAACTGCAATGTTCCAACTCATTTTTCTAGGCGATTTAGGCCCTTACTATTAAAATCAGGTACAACAAATTATGAACTGAATGAACCATTTCACCGATTGTGTCACGTTTATAATTTTCATTCTAGTACCTTCGACCTCAATTTTTAGCTTCGAAAAAAAAAACTATTCTTGCCTCTTTCAACAATTAAATCTTAAATTTCTTTATTTACTAAATTTCAGCTGTTGAATAAGTTTTTTTTTGCTTTAACTGAACAATTTTAAAGCTGGACTTTCAAGAAACTTTTGACAATAATGAAATTTTGTACGTTAAGTAATGGGGGCTCCTTGGTCGGTTGGGCGTGTAAAGGGTATTGGTAGGGTTTATTATAATTATTATTATAATTATTTAAAAAAAAAAAAACTAGTACTTTGAGAATGAAAGATCAGCTTGTCAAAATCTAAAAGATTTAAGAAAGTTTTATTTGATAGCAGGCTTTCATAAAAATATTGAGGAGCGTTCTGCAGACTTTTTAGAAATCGTTAGTAAAAATTGAAGATTGTTTTTTTTTCTATGAAAGACATATTTTTCAACTCGATCATCTTCGTATTAAGAATTTACTTTCAATTTTTGGATGGAATACCTGTCAATGACCTTTGGGAGATCTATAAGGATCTTTAAGGCTAAATGTGTTCACTTTTTACATAAAAAAGCTTTTGTATTTTTTCTTTTTATACTTTTGTTTCGAAATTCACCTCAAAACTTACCAAATATTTTAACTGGGCTCGCTAAGGTATATTATTTTTCAATATTAACCAGCGTTGTTATGAAAAATATTTCATTACCAATTTTAGTTTACATATATTTATGCTCTTTGAAAAAATTTTGAATATCTTTTATTATTTCACATTAACTTTTATACACAAAATATTTGTCAGTTGATCTTTTGAATTTTTTCAAGCATCACATATTAAAGTATTAGATTGCATATACCGTTATTTTGTTTAAACTTAATACAAAACTTTTTAACTTTAATTTTATTTTTGATTTCCGCGCTCAATATGTGTGGCAAAATTTAAAACATTTACACTTTTTCAAGTATTTTCCACTTTGAACACTTGTCTGAACGCGTTTATATTTTCCTGTCCACTGCGCTAATTTCTAAATTGATGCGCGAAATAGTTAGATGGCGCAATAAACTGAAAAACACGCGAAGGCCGGACATAAAGAAATAAATTAGTTCGCAACGAAAACACGTCTAAACGCACGGAAAAGTCGTTACCAACTGAATTTTCCGATTGCCGTTACATTGCACGAAAGGCCCGAGCAATGATGGTCTAACCGTCAGGCGTACAGCAGACGACAGCGCACGATGAGTAACAGTGAATGGAAGAAAACTATGTAGAGGTGAACAGCTAAAAGTGACAAGGCGAAAGGCGAAAAGCGCACAGCCGCCAAATGCCTACCAGCAGGCAATAGAGAACATACAACAAACAGCGGTCCGGCCCACCGACCATACTCAACTTTAGCGCGTAGCGGCTGTTGTAAGACCAACACATACTAATATACATAAAAACTAACAAACAGCTTACAGTTACATGAGGGTACTTTTACGAGTTGTCAGAACTTAGCAGTTTCATGAAAGTTAAGCATAAATATAAAATTTGAATTCAGGAAGCACTTTTGAATAAATCTGCTAACAAAAATTCCAATGTTAACGACATTCATTGTCGATATACCCTCAAACGGCATCCTGAATGTAGGCAACGAATAGTTCAAAAGATAGTGTACAACAAGCAGCGGTGTGGTGTAATGAACTGATTTAAACTACACATATTTTTTAAGCTCGTATATATTTCTTTTGTATTAAATATGTGATTATCAAAAATTTTTCCAAATAACTTTATTGTGGAATATTTTCAATTTCTTAAAATTTAAGCAGCGCCTAAATGTAGGCAATGAATATAATAATTCAAATTATTTAAATGTATTATAATTTGAAAATTGAACTTCGTATAAAATTTTAAAATATGTCATTATTTATATTTTTTAACAATTTTTTTTAAATTTTTTTTATTTATTATATTGTGCTTGTTCGAAAATCTTAAGCCGAACGACAAAAATAGTATAAAAATTACAATTTGTTCAGAATAAAATTCTTTAAAACTTTTGGCAATCCCGTACATACACACACACTGGAACATACATTTCTCTTTATTTGGCACGTGTTGGCCGTGTGTGCCGTCGGCTTTTACTTGCGCCAAAAATTGATTTCGCCGACTTTTGACTTCACCGACATGTAAACAAATGTTAATTAACAGAGACTGTTAAGTAACAGCGTACTGTGAAAACAGCCGGCTAACACTGCTAACTCACACCCACATGCAAGTAACTCTGTTAGCATTTGTTGTTCTTGTACTGTGCAAACAGTATTAGACATTTTATTTTTTGTTGGCCAAATGCCACCACTTTCGTGTGCTATGTTTCATGTATACAGTTGTTGTAAGCTTTTTTGTATTTGTTTGCCTTTCGGATTTCGGTGGTGGCTCGTAATTTGTGTGGCTACAGTTATATGTGCGTGTGCGAGTGTAAATGTGGGTATGTGTACACTCAGCTGTTTGCATGCGTTTCGTTGTACGCATGTGTTGGTGCACACTTTGAGTGTATGTGTGTCATCTTCGATTGTTATTGGCGGGAAATAAAATGTAAACAATGCAGATTCGGTCTGCAAAAAGTTGCTTGGGAAATATTGTCGATGGTGGGAAATGTTGTGCAACATTTGATGTTTTTTGTGGAATG